TCCCATATCCCCCTCTGAGAGACTGGGTCCTGGGGCTAATGATGGTATAAAACAAATTTTCGGTGAAAATAAAAGTTTAATCTTAAATTTTTTCCCCCCATGTATCGAAAAATATAATACGAAAATTGATAATCAAAAGAATGTAAAAATTGGCCGACTGCACTTGACGTATCATACATTCTTTTTGGAGAAGCAGGCGAAAGAACTTGTAGTTTGGTTTTTAGGTTGAAGCATCTTTTGAACTAGTTTTTTTATATCTACATGTTTGACAACGTCTCAAATAAGCGAGTTATTAAGTCTCATTTAAAAAAAAAATTGGATTCTCAACTTTTGAAATAATCGCATCTAAGTAACTAGATTTGACCAAATTAAAGATTTTCGTATCAATATAAGTTTTATAAAACTTTTGTCATGAAAGCTAAAAGGTATCAAAAAGCTAGTATATATAGATTATAAGCTTCAAAGAATAAACCCTCCCAAACCCCATTGTTATTACATGATGTCCTCAGTGCATTATCTCATATCCACACTGGACTCAAAAATCATGAATATTCGTAACTACGTTGTTACTTGTACATCATTTCTACACTACGAGTTCTCTTTAAAAAAAATTTAAAATCAATGACTCATTAAGATAGCCAACACTTTTCTTTATTGTAATGTAAAAGTAGTATAAGAGAGAATAGTATAAATTGTCATTATTTAAAAAACATCCATGGATTAATCTCGATGAGGCATGATCTGTCTTGGTTGCTTGCACTTGGAACTGAGATGATGTGACTTTCTTTACCACCTTAATTTAAGAAATATTAGATTATATAATGTAACAGTTATATACTTGGCTCAACCGTTAGATAACAAATAGATAAGGATGAAATGTTTCATTTCGTTAGCTGGGCCCACTCACGAGGTAAACAGCAACCTAGTTAGTTAATTAATTATATAATCATTGGCCGGTCCATCAAAAAATCGTTACTGCGTAACGTGTTATGAATATTTTTTTTAATGTAATACTTTGTCGTTGAATTTGTAGTTACTTACTTTTTATTTGAACCAAGTTCTTCCTCCCTACGCTCAAAAGTTACAGGGGGCGGCGGTCTCGAGTCAATAATAAATTGATATGGGATTTTAACATGATCGATTAATTTACCTGATCTACTACGTAGATTCAGCGAACTAAGACATCAGATCCAGTTAAGCCAGTTTAATCTAATTCAAAGAATTTACTATTTCAAAAGATAAAACAAATTTTCAAAGCAGTAAATAAACATAACAATTAAAGTAATGTATTGTTACAAGATACGGGTATCGGGTTAATAAGGTCATTGAGGTGCCCATATCAATCTTGATATATCAACCTTTGTCCTTGATGCATTGATTTTCAAGCAAATTGATGCATGCTACACAGTATGGGTATCGGTTTCCATAGGGGCATTAATGAAGCGCCCCTCCTTGCCTAGCAATTTAACCGTCGTAAAAGAAACCAGCTTCCAAATTCAATCTCCCCCTGTTAGTCGCATGAAAATGAGATAAGTACATGAAGAAACGTTATCCATCATAGAAAGATAGAGGCTGTGTTTGGTTTGAGGGAAAGGGAGAGAAAAGAAAAGGAAAAAGAAAGTGGAAAGAAAGGAAAAGAAAAAGAAAGGAAAATAAAATTCTTGGAGAGAAAAGAAAAGGAAAAAGAAAGTGGAAAGAAAGGAAAAGAAAAAGAAAGGAAAATAAAATTCTTTTTGTTGTTTGGTTAGTTAGAAAATAAGTGGAAAGAAAGGAAAAGAAAAAGAAAGGAAAATAAAATTCTTTTTGTTGTTTGGTTAGTTAGAAAATCATAAAGAAAATTAGAAGGCAAATTGCTTCTAATGATAGATAATAATTTAATATTAAAAATTCATAATAATTCATAAAAATTAGTGGTAAATCTTATATAAATAACAAGTTAATACAAAAATACTACATAATTCATAAAAATCAGCCATACACATTAAAAAACAAAATTACCAAGTATAATATTGCATCACTAGGTTATTTCTACAACTGAAAAACAATTCTAATTTTTTGCTAGACAAAGTAATTATACAATCCAATCAAACAAAAATTACATTGTTTTCATTGTTTTGACAATAACTACTAAAAACAGCAAACAAATTTGTAATTGCAATAGTTGTACAAGCCCAACATTCAACAAGTACTTTCAGTTCAACTTTGTGTTCTCGACTAGTCCAAGGTCCTAACTAAAAAAGGCAAAAACAAAAAGTGAACATCAAGAAATATGCTCAAAAATTTGATTCAAAGATTCCTGCAAAGCAATAACATCAATATTTTCCTGACTTCAGTCAAAGGCTTCTTAGACCTTGTCATCCGCTTCTCTCCCTAAAGAAGAAAAAGAAAATATGAGTTACATTCAATTTTAAATGGACATGGAGTCAAAAAAGATAAATCACTAGGTACCATGAACTAAGAACAAGCTTGTAGAAAATCATATTGCATTGATTCAAAACTAGGACAATGTCAATGAGAAAAGAAAATTAATACAATGTCAGTATAAGATTATTATCTTAAGACTGAAAGCTCATACCAATGTGAAAAACCAAGACTAATCCCAGATTATGCATGCATTTTTTCACTAGTAAGTGTGAAAGAAATTATGCGCGTGTTTGTTATTTGCGGAGAGGACTTTGAGGGAAGCAACAAACAGTCCAAGTGACATGCCCTAGTTTCAATACACCAGATAAAAATGTCGCCACTGTCACATAAAGACGTTTTATGCTCATGGTCAGCTTCGTAATTTCTCTTCTATCTGATGATATCACTTGATGAGTTTTACCCGAAAATATTTGATCATGAACAAGTAGCATTCATGTGGATTTTTTCCCATATAATGACTTTGATACTAATATAGAGGCAATCTTTGAATATAGATTCTAATTAATCAAGTACTTTTGTGTCTTTCATAAGGTGTTTCTTGCTTCCAGTAGAGCATAAAATAAGAGTCTGGATTTCTGTTAATAATAGTTGCTTCTTACTAAAGCACCAAACGTTTGCTCGAAATTAATCCTACAATAATCCATTAATGTATTCTGTATTTCTTTTCATGTTGCATGCTTAATACCTTCCGGGACGAAGAGATGTTAGTGACATTCAACAGTGTTTCACAAAGTTTTGAATTGTTCAACTCATGAGCTTCTTTTACTATCATGATTGTGAGCAAATTAGATATGAGAAAATGTTCCTGATGCAGAAAACATTTTGGGATCTTGTTTTTTACCTTTTGAAGGCTCAATGCATTCTACATCATCCTCTTGATTAATTTTCAAGGTGTGAATCTATCTGAGCTGCCTAGAGTTAAACAATGCAAAAGAAAGCATTGTATAGTACCAACGAAAAATTTGTGTTATGATAGCTTCAAGTAGCTGAATACTTATTTCAAAGGGAATATAACAGTGAGAATGCTACTCAAAATAAAGAGAGATGCTAATTAGCAAACTAGAAGCCAGCCTAAAAATACTTTGCAAGAGATCCTGGAGAATAGTGTCAGATAATAAGCCTGCAAGTTAAGCTATTGGATTGGGTAAAACCTTTTAATATCAGTCACAGGTAAATTAAAACCGACACATGAATGTACCATTATTTAATAAGGTGCATAGTGAGATGAAATACTCCATTAACTAAAAGTGCGGATAAAATGTAGAAATAGCACCTTCATTTGCATGTTTTAATTTACAGATTGATCATGTAATAATAACTAAAAAATTAACATCCAATGAAAGCAAGCAATCCTTATCATGCCTAAGAAATTACTCCTCTCAACGATAAAAGTACACAAAACGTTAGAACCACCACAAGAGAATTGCAATGAACACTCCAGCAGAAGTCTTTGAGCAACATAGCTCTTTTAGAAGATAAAAGAATTAAAATTAGTTATATTCTCAACTAATAAATTGCTTACCTAAAAAAATAACAAATTGAGAGATAAATAGGAGTACGAGTACTTGACAATTTCACTATCATAACAAAACTGAATCCAATTATGCCCCCCTCCCCCCGACCTCCCAAAAAACAAGTTAGCACAAAAAAGTCTTATCTCCAATTCCTTGACCCCCATTCAAATTCCTCTACTCCCCATTCCAACAATAGTCTCTCTGTCCAACTCTTGGATTATAGAAATATTATCTCTAGCTAGCATAACTATTCATTGATCCATGCATTGACCCATAAAATAAAGTTTGATGAAGCATTAAGAAAATTTGAAATGTTCTTCACATCACTAGCTAATTATTTATGAAATTAAGTCTTCAATCTACAAAAAATCACCAAATCCAAGAATAAATTTTCTTAATATTGAAGATCCATACATTAAGTCTTCAATTGCACCCATTTCAAGCATTAGGAACCAAATTGTACCAATTGCAAGAATAATGTTTAAACCAATAAAAAATGATAAAATAATACCTCTGATGAACCAAAAAAAAGATCCTTTGATAGAACCATTGTATTGGAGAAAGATCAGAGGTTGCCGGCTTCGCGTTCCAGGGGTCCTCGCTTCCGCTGCCGTCGCCGCCGGCGGTCTCCGGTGTCTGCTCCGTCTGAGGCAGGAGAGAAGGTGAGGGGGTAGGAGAGGATTGGGATTTGATCGGCGTCGAGAGTTTGGTCGGCGTCGAACTAGGGTTTTGGAGACGGAGAGAGGAGAGAATTAGGAGGGGGCAAAGAGAGGGTGAGATCGATCGGGGAAAGAGTCGGAGTTTAGAGAGAGGTGAGAGATCGGGGAAAGTCGGAGGCGTCGATTCCGTCTCTCCCTCGTTTTCACCTGGGCAGCGGAGAGAAACGGGAAAAGAAAAAATAAATACGGGTTTTTCTGCAGCGAAAACTATTTTCATTTTCTTTTTTGTTTCCTTTCGAACCAAACAGTAGAAACCCACTTTCTCTTCTATTTTACTTTCTTTTCTCTCCCTTTCTATCAAACCAAACAGAGCCAGAATGAAATAGAATGGAAACTCGTCATCTAAAGTTATATCACACCTAGCTTTGACAGGTTTTATTAGCAAATTTAATTACTGAAGCAAATAAATCTTCCAGAAACAACATTATATCATTCGATCTTTCATACAACACCGACGGCTCTTTACCATCTCGTAATCTCTTATCCTCCAGATGGCAGACAACAAGTCCATGAGTCTAAAATGGTATACACCCTCCACGTATATGACAGGGTTAAAACACAAAAATTGCACTAATGTGTAACTCTAATCATGCTAACATCCGAGTGACTCAGCGAAGGTCGGTCCACAAGGCGGGGGAAAGAAACCAAATTATAAAATATCTCCCCACAAGGAAAAACTTCGGAATACTCGGGCATCTAATGGTATTCAGATCTTCCATGCTTTCTTCCAAGTCGTCGAAGGAATGGCCTGGGCTTTAGTTTTTCATCTGAGCCCTGGGGATTGTTCCTCTGAACAATTCTCAGAGGATGAGCTTCTGTATTGAAAACCCACTCATCAAAGGAGATGTATGACGGAGGTGAGAATAAGAGATAGAGATATTTGAGCGTCTCAGCAAGGAAGAAGCTCTGCATCATGTTGTCCTTGTCACCAGTATTCACCTGTAAGATCGTTGAGGATAGAAACAACTACATGAAATCTGAAGACACAAGAATAAGGGTAAACAAGTCAATCCAATTAAGAAAATATTGATACAAGGCAATATTATTCGAAGTGTCTTAAAAACATGCCTGCTTAAGCTTTTCCTCTGCCTTACACTTCAACTAATGATTAAACAGTAGATTATTGGATTAGTTACATTTTAGTATCATGAAGTAATTACACGAGTGACCCTAGAGTCTGGGTTTAGTTATATTTTGGTACCATGAAGTATGATGTAATTATACGGGGGACCCTAGAGTCTGGGTATCTATGCGAGGAACCCTGAGATTACTAATTGCAATTGTACGGGTGACCCTAGAACTGTTTGTTTTGGTCGATTCAGAGTTCTGGATGTCGGCTAGTGCTAGGGTTTGGGTCAGGATTAGTGTTGGGGTTAGGATTAGAGATATAGCAATGATTTCTCACTAAAGTTACATTGTTGTGACCCTAATTCTAACTCTAAAAGTCAGTAATTTTTGCTATAATCATAACCCCATCCTAGTTGTCCAATCCTAATCCTAACTAACATCCAAAACAACTCTACATCAGCAAAAAACAATGGCCTCAACCAGCCATTAGATTCCAGGGCCACTAACGTACTTAGATAAGTGATGTTAAGATTACCCATGTACATACATAGACTCCAAGGTTCACTCGTGTAACTGCACCATACTCTAGGATACCAGAAGTTAATGATATATTTCAACATTCTGTGCTGATACGAGTCGTCGTGCGAGCACCTTTGATCGCGGAATTATCAAAGGTGGTTGAGAAGAGGATGACAAAAACACAAGAATAATTCAGTATGTGGCGAAGAAAAATACCCTCTAGATTATGATATGAAAAGATTACAATCCCTCTCTCACAATATCACTAGAATCGAGAACAAACTCTCAATTCTCTCTAAACCATAATCTCTCTTGATTAGAATCTCTCCTTGATTACATCTGATTCTCTCTCTTGATCAAAACTGATCTCTCTTAGACCTAATCTCCTTAGATCTACATCTCTAACCATCTCCTTTGTTTAGAAACCCTAAAACAATCCCTTATATAGGTGTAACAACGTGGATAGCAAAGTGATAAATAACCAAGCCCAAACCCCACAGGAATTCGTGCAAACAGAAACCCAAACGAACCAGGAATCCTTCGATGAGTCGACTCATGTCTCATGTGCATATATGAGTCGACTCATGACAAATGGGTCGACTCATACAGTGATGAGTCGACTGCTCAGAGACTTTTGATAAAACGACTGAGTTTCATGAGTCGACTTATGACAGACATGAGTCAACTCAACCTGATGAGTCGACTCATGACTGTTATGAGTCGACTCACGGGCTGAAAACTGGATTCTTTGATTCGCCGTCTCGTTCCACGCTTCAACCTGCGTTCCACTGTGTTGTTTTACACCTCTATTCTTATGCTATTATGAGAATCATCTATCCTCAAGTTCCCATGAGGATCGCTAAGTTCCGAAGAGAAGATACACTTGTATCATGTGCACAGGAACCTTTTAGCAGAGTTTACCTCTATTACCAAAATAATATTGTTTTTTGAACGGGTTGTTAAATTATTAAGGATACTCGAAACTCTGAGGAGCTTCATCTTTACTTACCATTCCCCTCTCTTTCCCAATGTTTTCCTTTGCGTATTTGAGAAAGAATAGAAATTATATAGGAAAGCAGAAGAAAGAAAGGTTGATAGCTACTTTCATTTCCCTAACCAGGAAAAAAATTAAGCAATAAGTCAAGAAAGAATATAAATTATACAGGAAAGCAGAAGAAAGAAAGGTTGATAGCTACTTTCATTTCCCTAATCAGGAAAAAATTAAGCAATAAGTCAAGAAACGGCTATTTTAGTCTTAAAAGGCGACAAAAAGTTAAAGAATCAAAAATTAAAAAAATGCAAATACATAGAGATTGGAAGGGAAAATCATACATGAGAAAGATAGAAATATATAGAGGAAAGTGGAAGAAAGAAAGGTGGACAGTTTGTCATTTCGCTAAATCAGGGGAAATATAAGTAATATGTCGAGAAATAGCAATTTTAGTCCTAAAAAGCCAAACAAGATTAAGGAATCAAAAACTTTAAAATGAAAATACATAAAGATTGAAAGGGAAAATCATATGAGCACTGGTAATCTAGGAATACATACATCCTTCAGTCCAACATAACCAGAGTTGATACGGGAATTCTTCTCAAATGCTTGAAATATGTTCCAACCCCATTCTTGGTACGTCTTATTCCCAGTGTAGCGCCAAAGATACATAAGCGATTCAACAGTCTCTGGTCGTAATATATTCCATGAGGTACCAACACTCATGTCCTGCAAATAAATGCTCATGATTTTCTTGTAGGTATGCCCTCACAAGATAAAGTTAAGCAAGGATTCCAACGAAAGAATATCAACCTGTCCAGCGTGAAAAAAATAATTTTCTCCTGCAAGTTTTGTTGGAGTTGACTGGTAGAAGTTATAACAAGTCCAAGCAAGCTGCATAAGAAAGTACTAATTAAGGGGAAGTCTAGGATGTCAAGAATCAGATATTCATATACAAGACCTAACTATTTATCAAAGTTAACAAATTAAGTAATCCAAGCCCTGCAGCAAAACAGGAGTAGCAAGAAGATTAAAACATCTTAAAATGTCTTTCTGTCAGACAAGTAAGAAAAACACAATGCAACAAGCAACCTAACATGTGCATATGAAGGGACCCAGTATAAACTTCGCCTTGTACGTATAAAGAAAAGAAGGATGGTGAATACTTTCAATTTCATATACCAATAAATTCATAAAATGTTAACCTATTGTACAGAAATAACGAGCATTGTTTAATGTAATGTTATAGTGGGGAAATCCAATCATTATATAAGGCAGCAAGCTCTAGGTAAAGGCAGGTTACATTTTTCTATCAGCGGAAACCTATGTTACATGGGTACTTATATCATGAAGCCGCACCCATACCCAACACATACCAGACACCGAAACATCCAGACTCCTCAGATATGTCTCTCATGTGTCATAGCCCTACCAGACAACGCAACTCATTGGACCTTACTGAAGATACACATATATATATTCAGCCATGTATTCAGTTAATGCCTGATTTAATTTAAAACGCTTATCATATACTTCTTGGACGTTTATACTACACTTCACATCCGCTTCCTGAAACTCGTTGGACATGGGTCAGATACATTTCAGTCCGCATCCGGTTCAAAACTATAATTTTAAAGGTCGTTTGGGTTATCTAGTTCAAAAACAGGTGGTTTTAAATTTATAATCTATATAATAAAAGAAACATAAAAATGAATGAATTTAATTCTCATAACACATGTATGGATACATATTACTAATCTTATTAATTTCACCATATGTATATAGCCTGGTCCCCACACCCTACCTTTTACAAATTTGCCATTTCCCATACGCGTGCCCGTATCTATGTAACATAGGCAGAAACGAGAACAACTTAGGTAACCACTTATTATGAGGTCAAAATTTGTACTAAGAGAACACACAAACAAGTATCTCCTTAATACGAAGAATTTCCCATGGTTGCACAGACTGATTTGTGAAGACGAGGGTGTAGCGTGGGACTGTCTAGATAAAATAACACAAAGTGGAAGAAATTGATATCTGTCAACTTCCAACTGTAAAATACTTGGGTTGTGAAATACTTGTTGGGATCCCAGGGGTACAAATCGCAATAGAAGATTGCAAGTCAATGGCACAAAGTAAAGACACATGTACAGAAAAAAGAAAAGGCTGAGATGGTTTCGAGCTCTAACCAATAATGATCAAGTATGAGCAATAGCGCTATAGGAAGTACGAGATGAACCAATTAAAGAATAAATGTCAGCCTACAGACAATTGTGTGCACTCAAGTGGACTGTAAATTTGAATGTAAATATGTGATTACCCTTCCATAGAAAAAGAAGATGAGTATGCTAGAGGTTTGCGGTGCTTAAACTTCATGACCTATAAAGTAAGTTGTCCTATTGCCCACCAGTCTTCTTGGATTTATGGAAAGCCCTCCCCTGTTCATAGTTAATGGGAATTTGGCATAACTGACTCATTTTGATGCTTAAAAGATGATAACGTTTTCCATCAGGCTGGTTTTCTAAGATGATCTTTTATGACAAGCCCCAGTTTTCATGGTCTTTTTTATCTAAAACTTCAGACATTTTTTGTTTCTCAAGGAGCATTCTCATTATATTGTTCTATTGACAGGCTTATGAAATCATATCAACTTAGAGAGATTGGGCAATATATTAGTCTATCGACAGGCATTGTAAAACTTTGGTCAACTTTTTTTTTTCTCAAGGAGCCTTCTCATTTTCGAACTTCACTTCATAGTAACCCCATTTTCCAGAAAAGGACAACTAGATGATGACCATGTCTCAATTGTCTCAGTGTGCACATTTTTGTAACATGTAAGTCAACATACATTAGCATTGCACTCAAGAATTTTTAATCTGGTGAGTAGAGGCTAAAACCTAAACAAAATAGAACCAGGCTTGACTTATCCTCGTAGCACTTAAGCACTTGATTCCATGAGCTAAAATGAACAGTATGTCCCTTAACAAGCAACTGCGCGCTCAATTCATAGTCTAGAATAAGCTTACCTCCTCTGCAAGGGATAACATTTTTTTCGCCTTCTCTGGGCCATAGCCAGATGATCCTAAAGCTAACATGCCTGGAACAAAGCATGCTAATTCGTCCATCTGCAAATATTAGAAGCACAAACACTTGAAAAACACCAGGAAGAAAAAAAAAACATAACATCCCATCATCAAACAGGAACTATTCAACAGCAAAACAGGGCAAGTACCTTGTCAGAAAGAGATTCACCAGTTTTTTCACATATATATGAGAAAGAAGATGGTGTAGTTTTCCGAATCAAGCTTATCAAGCCCTCCATTGATGTTTCCCACATATCTCTGTTAAAGCATTGGATGAGAAATCCATGATTAATTCACAATATATACTGGATAGAGGAAACTGAAGGGTAATCGTGCTGAACAACCTATATACGTTAGTCACAGGTAACAACGTGTTTCAAGAGCCGAATTAAACAATATGATATTCATTTAGTATAAATGAAATGTACTAACCTGTAATGCTTCACTGTTTCAGTTTTGTTCCCTTGAATCCACACTTTGAGTAAATATTCGTAGAAACTGCAAGGTTAGTCGTTCAAGTTATTAGCATTGCGTAGGACCCACTCTAATGAAATGAATACATGATTCCAAAATCAAAATGGAAGGAACTTGCAACAATTCACAGGAAGGAAAAGAAGCCATCCATGGAAAATAGTGTGTCGGAAGGAAAGAAGCCGTTCACATGGGCAATTTGACAATATTTCCAACAGAGAAGGGAGTGCTACCTATCACCCATAGCGCCAAATGTAATTGTTGAGTGATATGCTGCAGTCCCCGTATGCGGATTTATAAAGATTGGAAGTAAACCATCCCTTGGAAATGTCTTCTGAAGTTGTGTGATAACATTCTCTGCCTGAAATAAATGATGCAATTAAGGGCATCCAATGCAACAATAAAAAAAATATAGGAAAAATTGTGTAGAGGCCCCAATTAGAATCCTTATGTGACCCAACCCCCTTGACTTTAGGCCATGTGCTTAGGTCCCTTGACCCAACTTCTCATGTGAAAAATCCCTCCTCAATCCATATTTATCTCACATTCATAAAATACCCCCTCTTCTCTATATAGCCTCCATGCTTCTCCCTTCTCTTCCACCCTATCTCTATCCTCTTCTTTCCTTCACCCATCATCCTCCCTCTCTCTCCTTTATTCAACTTCATTCTCCTCAATCCATATTTATCTCACATTCATAAAATACCCCCTCTTCTCTATATAGCCTCCATGCTTCTCCCTTCTCTTCCACCCTATCTCTATCCTCTTCTTTCCTTCACCCATCATCCTCCCTCCTCTCTCCTTTATTCAACTTCATTCTCCTCCCTCCTCTCTCCTACATTTCAACTTCATTCTTATCCCTCTTCCTCCTCCACTCAGCCTTCTCTTTCCTCCACTCTCTGTCCCACCTCCACTTTCCTCCCCTCTAGTTCCCCCTCGTCTTCCATTCCACTTCCAACATCCTCTCTCTTCCTTTATCTCCAATTTCTTCTTCACATTCCACAAGCATCACCATATCATCCAAATATCAAGTTTTGGGATAAATACATGCATCTCATAAAATCACTTTGAAGTTAACACTTAACAGTTAAAATTAGCATCTAATATTTACAATTATTATCTAACAATTAAAGTTAACATGTGAAGTCTAAAGTTCAAATCTAATGATTAAAGTTAACATGCGAGTTCTAAAATTAACATCTACTTTTAGAAATTAATATAAAAGCTTTAAAATTATTAGATATTAACTTCATCACATGTTAACTTTAGACTTCACATGTTAACTTTAATTATTAGTTGTTAACTTTAGATGTCCCGTGTTAAAATTAGACCTCGCAGGTCAACTTTAAATTTAGATGTTAAATGTAAAGTTTTTAACGTTAACTTTAACTATTAATTGTTAACTTTAGTGTGATCTTTCGAGATAATCCTTTTACCCAAAAGAGATGGCCGTTCAGCGATGCGACATTTATTGTGGTAGAAGAAAGAAAAGAGAGGGTTAAGGAAAGAACAAAAATGACAAAGCAGAGGTGTGCCTGTGAAAAAATAACACTTGAGAATTGATAAGGAAAAAGGAGGGGGATGTAATGATGGATGCTGGTGATGAAAAAGATAATGGTTAAGGAGGAGGAATTATTCATGAGTTCATGAGAAAAATTATTAATGAATGGAGAAGGAGGAGAAACAATTATTCATGGGTTAAGTTCTTCCTTTTCCTACTCCTTTGAAAGATCAAATACACATTTCGTTTGATCTATTTCTTTATTTCCCCATGAATCGTATGCTTGTGACAGTAGCGATAAAATTTTCTCAAATCTAATCGACTTGATTGGGACTTCTCATGCCATGGTAATGATCTATTTTACCTAATTGATGGATCCAAAAATTCATTTTAATGAATTAACGATTGGTTTTATACGAAACGCCTTGTTATCTTACCAATTATGTGCTTCAATATTATTACCTAGAGTAAGCGCTATAGCTAACGATGAACAACCAGAGCATATTACTCACTACATCAAACAATTTCCATTAATGAAACCATGGAAATCCATCGAAAAATCAAAAATACGCATGTCCGATAAAATGGTTGTTGCTATCCAATGGTTCAAACTACACTCAAAGGTAGGGCATTTCCCATTGATATAGGAACTTCTGTATTAGAAACTATGTTACCCGGGTACTTCATTATTGAAGCCGTACCCGTACCGAACACGTACCCGACACTTTCCCGTACCCAAACTTTGTGGACACTTCTTGAATATATGCATGCATTTATTACAACATATACTCAATTATACGATATATGTGTTAATTTAAAATACTTGTCAAAGACTTCCTGGACGTAGAGTTTACACTTCACATCCGTCTTTTGAAACTAATGGGATACGGGTCGGATTCGTTTCAGTCCATACCCAAGTTCAAAACTATATAGTTAATGGGTCGTTTAGATGTTTAGTAAAAAATGAGTAGTTTACAATTCACGATAATCAATATGATAAAATAAACTCAAAAATGTGATCGAAATTTTAATTCTAATATATACATGTAGTCATGTCCCCGTACCCAACATTTTACAGTTTTGTCGTGTCCCCTACCCGTACTCGCACCGGTATCAGTACCAGTGCCCATTTCCATGCAACTTAGACCAGAAACAATGGTATCTTCAATTATAGCTCCTCTGGGATGTAAAATATACCTCTTCTCACCATCCCCATAGTGTATGAGAAAAATGTATGCATTTCGATAAGGATCGTATTCTATGATTACGATTCTCCCAGATATGAACCATTTACTAGAATAAATAAAGGGCACATTGTCCTTTATTATCCAATGGCGAATCGATGACCTGTGTATAAAAAAGAGGAATTTTTGGATTTGCATAGAAAAAGGAAATAAAATAAAAAATAATATATATAATATTAAAATTCCTAGAGAGAGATACATTTGTGTATTGATAAGACCATTCACTATTTCTTTTTTCAAGGAGAGGTGTAAGTGCCCAAAACTTATGTTTTTTGAAAAATATAAGAAATCTTTCTTTTTTCGCCCGCTTCAATTTAGAGGTTTTTCGTCATGCACCACCTGTGTTCGCATTCCCGAAGGCACCCCTCTCTTTCAAGAGGATTCGTGGCATGTCAAGCCCTGGTAAGGTTCTTCGCTTTGCATCAAATTAAACCACATGCTCCACCACTTGATTCTCTCCCAATTGGTTGGATCGTAGGTGCGATGATTTACTTCATGAGCGAGGTCTTTGGTTCAAGTCCAGGATGGCCCAACTGCGCCTAGGAAAATAATAGAAGAAGCGAGGAAAATAATAGAAGAAGCTTCTGACTCTTTCATGCATGCTCCACTTGCCGGGGGGGTGGATATAGCTCAGTAGGTAGAGCTCCGCTTTTACAATTGGGTCGTTGCGATTACAGGTTCATGGGAAAAAAAAGAGAGGGAGATGAGAGGTTGCAAGTGAGGGCATATTAGGAATAAAAAAGATGTTTTCTCTCTCTGTTGATATGGCAGTTGTAAAGGGGCTTTTTCATATGAGAACTTGGGTCAAGGGGCCTAAGCACATGACCCAAAGCCAAGGGGGCTGAGTCACATGAAGGTTGTAATTTTCGGGCATAGACACAATATTTCCAAAAGTATAATAGAATGGTCCCAACATGCAGAGTAATCATTCTAAGAAGCAAGTCATCTAGTGGAGCTTGGAGATAGCACATTTACTTGATGCAAATGAAATAAGGAAGCGTCATTTGAGATGATCCTGACGTGTCCAAAGTTCAATAGACACACACATACACACACACAACCCCACCCTCACGCCTGCCCACCAGTTCGCACGGACACACGCATGCACACGCACGCACACATACCCACACACGCAAAGGAATCCAGTGAATGTAAACTGAATTAATGTAATTGAAGAGAAGCTAGAACTAGATACACACCCAAAAGATCAAGATTGGAGACAGTACAGAAGGAGACATGCACTTCCTTGAGCTTTCAGGCTGTCAAGCCCAAAAACTTGGGAATAACAGGATTGTAAATATATGAAACCAACAGCTACTGGATGAATAAGAGAAATAAGCTTTCACAAAGCATAAACATAATACATTAATCCTATATGCATAGTAGATATAATCTTATTGAAATTACTAACAAATGAAGCAAGCAAAGGCATAATAAATGCAAAGCAATTTTGACTAACAGAGAATAATGCAGCAATGTTAGTGTGATATATAATCAGGGAATACCACATTCCATAAGAAAATCATCATTGCTGAATGCTGACCCCACAATTATTATGCATTAGATAAAACTTAACAGATATACTGAAAAGTTTGAAAACACGACTGCCAGACTATAATTTTCATTATAAGGGTCTTATTTGCAATGTTTATACTGCTGAAATAATCAAACTGCTATGCGTTTCTAAGAAGAGCAGCTGCTGTTCTCTTGTTTATGTTTGCCTTAGATAAAAGCTAATTGCTCATTCAGACACCACTGAATGAGGAATAAGAGATTAGCCAAGATTATACTTGAGAAATTTGATCCAAAAGGAAACCCAAGGTTTGAAATCATATACAGTAACCAGAAGAGACTGGATACACCTCATAATTTTTCTAAAAAGATCGCCAACAAGAAATATACATCTTTACATGTTCATCTGCAGCAAAAAAAAAAGGTAAGGCTTCTTATTTCCCCTTCACATGTATAATCTTCATATTTCATAAATTCTGATTGTTTTATGAGTTGAGAGCAGTTTCCATTCTTTCGATTAAATCAACTGCTGAGCAGCATAAAGCATTTAGGCTGCCAAGGAATCTTAAGATATAAAGTTATTGAGCTGTGCACAGAAATACATATTTATCAGGGGTATAATCCACTAGTAATTAAAATTTAGGTGTAACAGAGAGAGAAGAGAATGAACAAAAAAAGGAAATGGATCGTTCTAACTGCACCAACCAAAAAACTTCTGAGTTCACATGGATAGTGCAAAGTCTGATGCTGAGTATAATTATTTTAGACCTGATGTTTGAATAAATTAATACTTGTAAACTTGGGGGAACAAAATATCAGTTCTTTATACTATATGATAATTTTAGCGTTACACCCTTGAAAAATAACAGATGATAATTGTGAGCTCACACGTTCAGACATTGTAGTATCCATTATCTCAACAACTGAAATTATTGCATCAAAAGTTTCCCCTCACCTTCTCACTGAAGTACTCTCCTTGGTCCCCACCTCTCACTGGATGAGAATATTCCACTTTTATTTAGATTTTTTGTGAATATTTAAGATGGCAATATGTTTAGCCAGGGCAATTAAGAATATTTTTCTTCCAGAAAACAAGCATAGTTGGGTGATAAGATGATTGAACCCAACATGCTAAAAGATATAACAACAAGCAGATTCATCCATAAGAAGTTAAAAGCAGAGCATTGATTTAGAATAAAATCAATAAGATTGTCATACAACCAGCAAGCGGGATTCAAACTACATCTCCACAAAATCAGTAGATTTAAAGTGACAATGGTGTGATAATTGAGTGACGATTGATAAAGAATAGAGTATTAAATGAGTCATCCATAATAAGTTAGATGTATCATCAATGGAGAACAAAATAAGATAAGCAGTTGAGATTCTTAGGCATATGCCAGGAGTGCCAAACTTCAGAAACATGACAAGATCATAGACTCATAGTTTAAAGAGTAATCAGGATCGAAGGTAGACTAAACGAAACACGATGGAGGCACTAGAAAGGTAGTTGTTAATTCAACAAAAAAAAGCCCTTAGCAAAAAGATGAACCGGGAAAAGGATTCATGCAGTCGAACCAAAAAAGTGGGATGAGATAATTATTATTGTTGTTCGCGCTTGATCTATAATTGTACAACAAAGTGCTCCTTGAAAAATCTAAACGTATATATACACACGCACGCACACATATCATTGTCTGATGTCACTTCTGACCGCACTTAATTTTCTTTTATAAGTCAGTCCTGACATGCAATCAACAATAAAGATCATCAACACATCTTAAGTCCACAATGTGCTGCTTTAATTCCAAATGAAAAGAGTATTCGAGTCAATATAATGGGCAAGAGAATTTTGGTCCCTAATTCTAGATGGTGGTTAACCAATTTGGCAAGTCGTTACAAGCCTGAGTGAATAATTACAATCCCATATCCTTAATCAGCAACCTTAAGAACATGTTCTGCAAGACAACAGAAGCATAACAGCACCAGTCACCTTAGAGAAGCAGTCTTGAAATTATTGTAAATTTGTAATGCATCCTCACCATCAACCTTACCCTCAAGAATTGCAATAACACTAGGGCAGTATAAGTAATTCGAAAAAAGAGAAAATACCTTCTGCTGGTACTTCGGGTCTCCTGTCCTTTGAGATAATGCTATAAATTCAAGCTGTTCCGTACCAGAATCTGCTAGAATACTATCTCCCTGCAGTTGAAAGAAAAATAACTCAATAGTGAAATCTATTACATTTTCTCCACATACGGAAATAACATGGAACTTAAGCAAGATAAAACAGTTCCTTTTAGGTTACTTTAGTGGCCTAGATAGTGCAAAATATAAAAGAAAAACCTAACCGATGCAAAATCTAAAACAAAAGAAAAAAGAAAAATGCAACCAGGAAAAGAACAAGAACCAACTGAAAGAAATATGAGATGTCGACATAAATAATACACGACCAGTCTACAATAAAAGAGCAATCGTCATGAGCAGACAATTAGCACATGGTCAATTGAAATAACATTTAAATTAACTATTAGTGTTTACAAACTGCGATAACATCATAAATATCCAAGATGGTTTATGATGTTCACTACTCTTATTCGTAATTCAATAGCAAAGGAGGTTATAGATGCAAGGTTGAAGCCAACCTACGCAGATCTGAAAATCAAACGTAAGTAGAGGTTATCAATTTTTATACTAACTGACAGCATCAAAGCCTTAAGAATTCTCACTTTGTACAAAGATCAACCATATGCTCAAAGAGATTGTCATGACACAGTCTTGAAAGTTATATTTGGAAGATGAAGATATATGTGATAAGTATAATGAGTGCTTAACCAAGCAAAGTTCACATGTCAAGAAAGAAATGATCCAAAGGTAGATGGATCTTCAATTTGAAGTAGCCATTCATGTGGTTCTGGGTAAATGAAAGTGAATATCTTAACGGACAGGTAACTCATGCAAGACAAGAATAGTCAACTTAATTAAAAAAAAAGCAGAAAGAGGATGTGATCAAATCACCCCAGTCCATCCCGAATTATGTGCATTTCCACGAGCCAAGTTAATTCTGTTATAAGGAATTCCTGAAGGTGTATCCCACGCAGGCAGCAATCTGTCGGTAATGTCTTTTGCCTTTTCAAGAAATACCTCATCTCCAGATAGATCATATGCGCTAAGAAGTCCGCCAACAACTCTACAATGTCAATTGCAAAGAAAGGGGAGGCATAAGCAAAGCTTCAGCGTAAACTAATAGGAAAGACCCAGCTCCAGCATGCACTAGCAATATTGCTCATAAGTTTAAGATGGAGCCAGTAATCTCACCAAAAGATCAGAAGTTATATACTGGAACTTATTCCCTAGAAATGATGATAAACAACTACAAAATTAAACCTTATAACGCAACCTTATGGTCGTCTCAAAAACACTTGCTTCGTAGTCCTTGTTGAAATCTAAGGAGTTTGCAACCCACCTGCCATCAAATAACTATAAGTACAGAGAGAGAAAATGTTTCTGAAACTTTCTCATAATGCCTTTGGTCCAAAATAAAAAGGTCAAGGTTGTTGATTGTGTCAATATTACACTTAGATATTGCGTTACTACTCACTCTTTAGCCTTCCGGAATTCATCTTCTAATCCCATTATGTACAGAGTATCAAGGGAGTCAACTAGTGTTGCCCCCATACCACCAAAACTGTTAACACCATTTTTTGATTGTGGCTGGAGTAAAAAGAAACACAGATCTTAATTTAATCTGAACAAGCATTGGGAAAGTTTGAAAACACTGAATAAACATCAGATTTATGTGTTGTTATCATATCAACAAACCTGAAGCTCATCCTCGCCCCATGCATACTTCTCATACGAATTCCACGCATGAAGCATAGCCTCCTTCACCTTTTCTCTTCGCAGATCGTTTATAGGATCTAAATCTAGAGGATCTTTACCACTGCTTCCTGTCTCATCCGCCACTGAGCCATCCTCTCCTCTCCGCAACTGCAGGTTACTCAAATTACTCGAGAGGAAAAGTAGACATTAAAATCTTCTGATTTCAATACTTGATTCAACAGTGAATACCTGATCTTGCAACCGATTAAGTGCTTCTGTTAATTTTGAAATTTCTTCCTACAGAATGCAGATTGAGGTTGCGTTAGAGAGCATACGTGTAAAATGTTGCATGCAAACTGATATGCAGTTACTCAGTTAGCTTACTGCTATGAAAGGTGGGGTGGGGTGGGGTGGGGGTGGGGGGGATCAGGCATCTGTATCCAATTAGATAAGAATGCAGATGCAACTTGATAAATACTAATAAGAACTACAATCATAATATTAGTATCAAATTTTAGACGAGAGAATTCAAGGCCTAGACATCCCCTAGACATCCCACATCCAAAATTGTATTGGTTGTAATGTCTACATTTAACTATGAGGATGCCTGAATAACCTATGCCCATATTCAATTTGATATCTTGATTTGAATTTTCAATTATCACAAAACTAAAAGTATCAATAAATCATCCAAATTAAAAGGAAATATGTAAGCAAAACTAATAATAACTTGAAAGCAAAGTAACACCACAAGCTTTGCCGACCGGAAAACAAGCTCAAAATTTTCTCTGTATTCAAAGGAATTAGTCCCAAAAAAAAGATTTCTGATACCAGATGACGTACCAGCATCGAGATCCAGGACAGATTGTTCAAGGTCATAACGTATACGGGCTTATAGAAGAACATAAAGATAATTCTGATGCTTACAAAATTACTCGAAGGAAATGAAATTTTAATCAGAGATCTGAACGGATCGGAACCGAACCTCGTGTTCTCGGAGAAGGGATTGACGATCCCAGACGAAGAAAGTGACGACGACGAAGGCGATGAAGATGAGAGCCAGCTTCTTCGGCCGCTTCAGGTAGTAGGTCGGATGGAGGTACCGCCATCGGGACGAGGATGAGGATCTGCGCGCCATTGCAGATCCAGAGCTCCCCCAAACCCTAACCCTAGATCGGAAAAAGAAAAAAAAACCCTAGAATTTGGGACTGAGGTTATTTTTGCTCTCGCTATATTTTGTTTTCGGGCTCAGAGAGAGCTCTATGGTGGGAGACGCGAGGCCTTTGTTGAGCAGTCAAGAGAGGGGGTGGAGGGGGGAGAGAAATTTCTACTCGCCGGGTTAGTCGGTGGGGCCCACCGACAACAACGGCGAGGGGCGATTGCCAACTGATGAATGTGCGTGTGTGAGAGAGAGAGAGACAAACGACGGTCCTAACGCTTCTAAATGGTCCATTAACTTCGGGTGTGCTGGGTAATCATTTTTTTTAACATCATGTCATGAAGTTTCTTTTTCAAATGTGTTTTGAAAACACATTTTGGTCAAACTAGTTTGACCATTTATATAACGACAGTCGCGGCACGACTTAGCGGTGATGGGGAGTGTCCCAGTGCGGGGTATTGGGCCGGCGGACGACGACGGGTAGCGACGACGACGTCCAGCTACCAGCGGGTTACGAGAAAGTGCCGGCGGGCGGCCGACGGGCGTGACGGCAGCGGAGGCGCGACGGGTGAGCGGGTGGCTGGCGGCGGCGCGGTGGCGTGCCGAGCAGCGCGCCGTGGCGGCCAACTTAGGGCGGCTGGGGACCGGTGGCTGGCCTGTGGCGGTGGCGCGTGCGTGGCTGGAGGCGTGTGCCAGTGCTGCCAACGGCGCGGCCGACGGCGAGGCGGAACGACGGCGGCGGCGGGGCCGTGGGGGGGCCGGCGGGCCCCGAGGCGTGCGAGTGGGACGGGGGTGCGCACTCGGACCGGGAGTCGGTGGCGCGGCCCGCAGCGACGGGCGAGCGGGCGGCGGCGGCTTAGATGAGAAAACGGAATCTCAAAACATATTTTTGGTGTTTTGAGAAATTTGTTTAATTTTTAGATTTTGTAAAGGGACAGGTCAAAAAGAACGTCCCGGTTACAAAACGCGTTTCTTTGTTTTTGTTGAAAAAAAATAGAAACGACAAAAACGCCACGGTTGCCAAACGCTCCCGAAGTGAAAAAGTCTGGGAATCAGTTTCTTATTCTATGATCAGTTAATTAATCACCCTAAAAATGTCTATTTATGAACTAAATCCTGATGTTCCGAATTAGGGCAATCTAAATTTTGCTGATCTGATCTGATTTTTAAATAGCCCTTTGCTTTTCCTATCGCAGGTTATTAATTAGTTGTTTACATCTTTTGATTTTTATTATTATTTGTTTGGATGAAAGTATGCCACTTCTATGATTATTAGATTTATGATCTTATTGCTCACTTGTATTTCTTTACCCAATCCTTTTTTTTTTTTTTGATTAATTATACCGATCAGTGCAGTCTGATTTTTGAAAAGTCAATAGTGGGTCAAGTTCAATCGGCATTATGCTAGTCATAAACTGTGAAACAAAAGGACAAATTTCAAAATGGACCAATTTTGTAATTTATTTGTAGAAATTAATCTATTTTATAGTTTATTCACCATTTTCGAACCTAGTTTTATTTTCAACTAAGCGGCTAAAACTGGGTCGAAAATGATAAATAAAACTTCACGGAATTCTAAATCCTATGAAGTTTAGTACTTAATTACCCAACCTAATGAAAATACAACCAGCCTAAGCCTAATAACCATTTTGACCCAGTTTCAACCAGGTGGTAAAAACTGGGTCGAAAAATGGAAATTAGATCTCAAAAGAATCGTTATTTAAATTAAATTTCTAATAGAAACTATTTTGAAAATTTGTCCCCAAAAAAATTCAAAATAAAGGAACAAAAAACAGGATGCCATTAACTTATGGCATCATAGTTTGGGTCACAATGCACATTGCACCGCCAAACTATTTGTAAAAGCTCATCGGATCCAGGTTACATTAACAGGAGATCCTGGAGCAGTAATTGCCACCACGCTCCTTTTATTTCTGAACTCTCCATGCTCTTTGTGATGCTCCTTTTATTTCTGAACTCTCCATGCTCTTTGTGATGCAAATATACCGACACCATGACAATGTCATGAACTGAGATTGTAAAAGATGGTTTTGATGGTTAAGAGACCATAGGGTTTGTAAATTAAATACCTCGCATAACATCACTCATAGACTGAAACGCAGCACAAATAGAAAATTTTACATAACACTACAATTGATCCCTTCTCATTCTATGGTACACACGGGTAAAAATTACAGTAAAACGGCGATTTTCCATCTCTTGTAATGAGTTTCTCTACGACTAAAAACACAGAATCTTTCATGATGGATCGTTGTGACCATTTGCGCTGATATGACCAGGCTGCACTGCTCCAGCTTCAGCAGAATTATCCTGGACAGAGGGAAGAAGGTGGACATTCTGAGGAAATTCAAAGAGGTAACCAGTACAAAACCTAAGGATATAAGCAGAGCTATAATAATTGAAGGCTTCTAATGTCGCAGTTGAACAGCTTACCCCAGCTCTTACTTCTGCCAAGGGATTTGAGATGGGCACTGGACTCTTCGAAAGATCCCTCATTATTCCCTGCACGCCCAGAAATCATAAAATAAGATTATTTGCAGCTGACTTTAGAGTTCGGATATAAAGATTAAGGAGACAAGAAAGCTTGGTGCTTGGTGATATAAAACCTCAACAAGTAGTATCCATGTTAGTGAACTTTGTATTCTGAATATACTCTTATAATTTAGGAATTTTATGCATGCAGTAAGATCTATAAGCAAGCAGACAAACATGTAATCAAAAAACTGTCAGACAAATCGAGTAGTTAGTTCCAAAAGAAACAGAAACCCCCATTAAAAAAGAAAGGGTGCCAGATGTCGCTACTCAAATGACGTATATCAAATCACTTACATTTTATGCTGCGTTATCATCAGAACTTGCAGCAACTTGAGCCTTACTTTTCCTATGCTGCATTTTTTACTGTGTTTTTGGATGTGTGATAGAGAGAATGAATAGCGAGTGTCCATGCACAAAAAATGGATATGAAAGAAAAGATAGATAGGTGTTATGAAAGGTGGGGTGTATAATTAACAAGCAAACAGTACTATGTAAGTAACTTGTTCAAAAGCTTCGGCCTCCTGTAAAGAGGGCATAACACAGACAACAGGGAGATATTGCAGCAAGACATGTCTTGCAGGAGAAGCGTGCTATTGTCTCTCTCCCAACATGATGTGCTTTTCACCTTAATTAAACTAGCAACCAGTGGAACTCATGTTCATAATCAATAATAACTGTTTCTTTCTAGTGCATGCATGTCTGTGCGCTAAGTTTGTGTCAATGAAGCATATCTTCTCGCTAAGATATTTAACATATGACGCAACAGGAACTGAGTAATTTCCAAGATGATTGCTATTGAGATCACTAACAAGAGGATTCAAGATTTAAGAATCAAATTGACTCTATATTGAAGGATCAGCTGCTAATATCATTAAAATGCCTCTGCAGGCACAAGTAGCAGAAACTACATGAAGTATCTGGCAATATGCAAATTCATATCTTCATTCGTTACAAGGGCACTGATGCCGCTATATATCCACCCTACTTACACTCCAAGGTACACACATATGTTCTCATTGTCATGATGTTGCCATAGACATGACTCAAACCTGCTAGTTAGACTGAGAAATATACATAGCAAGAGCTTACAGTGTCAAGATAAATTATTGGGAAAGGATTAGATGCAAGCAGAAACAGATAGACAAACTACTGAAATTCACATATACCAAGGCAACATATTAAAAAAGACTATCACTTGCCAAATCCATGACGTAATAAAAGCACCCATGCAAGGCAGGTATCCTATGGGCAATAAGTTCAAAGCCACAATTCATATAAACAATTAACAATAGTTACTAGCGAGTTAGGTCTTACATTTGATATGCATTTCTGTTGTAATTTACTTTTCAAACCAGTTAGCAAAATAACCTATCCTACATGCACAAAAATCAGATAAATAGTAGTAGTAATAGAAGGCACCTAAAGCGTGAGGATATACGCTGTAAACCATACTATGAGATCACAAGTACATCTGGCTCCTCACATATTACAATAGCAAATCTAAGTTTGAGTAAATTGGGAACAGTGTTGATTATGATACAATTCAGGCTAGAAGCACAAAGGATGTTTAAATTAAGAGAAACATTGATATCATGGTTGCTTAACCATCTAATATAGAAGGCTTGTGTCTGAATATCTACCTTGTTTGCCCAAACAAGTCCACATGCATTGCACAACGTCCTCGGTCCATCAGGCCCACGCCGCATCATTGGTGTAGACTTGGCACTCGTGCCGCAATGATGACAACTGAACATATTGTAAGAGACATCAACGCAAGATCTTAAGCACACAATTAAAATTTACACCCTTTAACCTAAATGAACATCCCACTACCATAAAACTAAAAAACAAGATGTCTCCAAGTATATATATATATATATATATATATATATATATATAGAGAGAGAGAGAGAGAGAGAGAGAAGCTCCTATAAACTTAAGTGGATAGGAGCACTTGTCCACCAAATTTTTTATCCCTTCATTATGCTTTGAGATTTGTGCTACACATCAATGTTATCTTGAGATTTGTGCCTTCATTTGTATCATATGCTAGCACAAATCTCAATGCAAAATCAATGGATAAAAAAGTTGGTGGACAAAGGGCTCCTATCCACTTAAGTATATAGGAGCTTTACTCTCTCTCTCTCTCTATCATATATCCAAACAACGACAAGCATGCATAATGATTACAATATCAAGAAGGAAGGATTAACAACGAAATAGGCAATGTTTGGGTAGAATAACTATGCAATAGATCACCATGCTGATGTTTTACAGGGAGATGATTTACATGCATTGACAAGACATGGCCACTGGCAGCATGCTACTTTAATTCATTATGCCTTTGATGATGTGAAGTTAAAGTTTGAGCGTACTATGTAAAGAAGACAGTAAATATGTTTACAGCTTACGTTGCTGCTGCTGGGGGCTGCTTGTCAGCTGAAGCCCAATTTCGGGTATCATCACAACTAGTATCACCCACTGATCCATCCTCAGGCTTTGATTTTGATGATATAAACTGACCCCTGCTCCTTTGCATCCTGCAATCATGTAGACATATCTCAACTGCTGCAGAAAGCATATCCATAGTCATGGATAAGTTGACAAACTAATAGATCATTTACTGTTAAGACTAATCAAAGTAGGACATTGTTTAGAAGACAGAAATGTGATGCTTTCAAACACTTAAAAGTGCCCTTTCTATAAACAGTCATTAACTACAATTTCATTGAACATACTCATATCTACTGCCAGAACTTTCATAGGTTCACAAATATATCAGTTTCGATACTGTACTAACAATTAGCATAAAGGCGAGAGATTTATGTGGCTTCATGGATCTACTGTGCTTAAAATTATGTATTCCCTACAAATATATCTTCCCCTTCTTCTTGTGCAGTTGGCTAGGAGAAAATATGTCTGCTCCTTGGCTGGCATAACCAATAAGTTAAATTTTGTCATCCGCTAAGAAGCCATTTGAGCTGTATGGAAAGCCTTCATCTATCAGCACTTGGAAATAATATAAATAAAAGGAAAGTAACTCATACAAGATGATTTGAGCCAGGCCAGAACATAAAATCACAGTTCACTAAAGATATTATAACGAGTTTTATTGTTACCGTGCAGTGGAAACACGCTCGTGTGAGCATTGTTCAGTGCAACTCGATTAAACCAACCAAACCAACTGAATTTTGATGGTTCAGTTCTGTTTTACACAAATTTCTGTTTGGTTTGGCTTTAGAATATTTGACACCGAGATAACCGAACTGACCATTCTCAGATAAGTGAAAGATTTGAAGGACTAATAGCCTTGTATTTTAGCAAAAATTCTCTAACTTGACATGTCTAGGCCCAAACAGAACTATCTGAACCAAACCACACTAAACGTATTTGATTCAGTTTGGTTTAGTACTGAACCTAGTTGGGTTCGGTTCAGTTTGACAAAAAATAGTCACTGTTTGCTTACCCCTAGAAAGAAGCCAAATGATTTGAAAACTTGTGTTCATGTACATAGCAAAATAAACAAACCGTAACCATTCTCAAAAGGAATACAGAGAAATACAAAACATAAATATGAAAGTGAATGCATTTGCTTCAAGTTTTAGGTGCAAAAGGTGATAAATGCATCAGTAACTTGGGAAAGTTGTACAGGTACATGCAATGCAATTGAATGTCAGCATTAAACAGGGGTAAGATATGGTGAATAAATGATTTGTTTTAAGTACTAATAAGGTTAAGAAGGTTCTATGTATAAAAGAAAATACCTGTAATTTCGGGTATACTTGCAGAGGATATGTACAAAATCACAGATCTTTAAGATTATAAATATCGTGTATAGAAAAAAGTGAGAATGGATAATGATTAACACCAGAAAAGATGCCTGGTGGAAGTGGAAGCTAGTACATCTGAGACTTAATAAGTAGATAGTTGACATATGGAAGAATTTAAGGTTCATAATATTGTTTCGGACTCTTAGAATCAGCTTACTCCTGACTCCTGAGTGACTAGCAATATGCACAGTACCAGAGTCCTCGTCATGAAACCAAGTATTCATAAATTTTATGGAAACCGAAAAAAAAGATAGGATATAAGATCAAATAGCTAGAACTACGAAAAACAGATATTACAGTTGTTACCTCTGAGCAACCTCTTTCCGCACAGTATATCGTATTTTCTTGTCAAAATTCCTCTCTTTCCTCTTCTCACGGAACCTCATTAATGAAGCAACTCTGTGAGGAAGGTTAGATCTCTGTTACACACCAAAAAAACAATCCATCCATTAAAAGCTAAATTGTGTAATCATCAATGCTTCCCCAACTGAAAACAGTACCTTGCTATTTACATGAGAAGATGATGGATAAGGAGTACTTAATTCACGTCCCCCCAGCAACAATAGGACAGCCTGCACCTGCATGATGTTAAACAACAGTGTTAGATGCTTCCCAACATGTATTGGTTTGTTTTCAGCTGTGATCATGCTTCCAAAGTATTTTTCATGTAACTGTCCTTCTTATAAAATATCAAAAACAATTTCCATGACAATTTCCACATGATCTGGGAAATCAAGTTGGCATTTCTACCATAAAGCAGTAGAGGATGACAATTAGTGCGACCAGAATTGAAATATTCAGCAAGAAGGTCAACCTTGAGTAAATTATATTCTAGGGAACTCTTCTATTACACTTCAAAGGTATGGTGAAAGTGTGGTACAATAGAAAAATAGAGCAAAAGACTTTTATCATTTCAATTCAAATATATGAACAAACTAGAAAAGGAAACTAAGTTTTTCCATAGTTTAGTGACAAATTGTTTTATAAAAGTTTAAACTATTGGAATGTGATGCACTCATCTCAGTTAGCATACCACAACTGTAAGAAAGTTCCATCACTATAACAGTTGTATTATTGGACTTCA